TCTGTTTTCCATTCTCATCTGCTAATGAGATTCCTCCCCCACCTCCCCCGCCCACTCGGCGGCCATGGCCACTTCGCCCTACCTTGCTGGCCAGGATGCGGGAAACCTCATCATCCACAGAGCCAGGGGCCACAGCCAGGTCGGGGTTGCTGCTGCTCACGCTCTTAGAACGGGCCAGATAGAGGCTTGCAGGGCGGCCGGAACCACGGGCCAGTGTGGCAGCCTGCACAGTCACCGGAGGGGCCCCTGGGGATGGACGGAGTAGGGTCAGCCCCGGCCCACCTGCCTGATGAGTCTCAGCCCCTTCCCAACTCTGTGGCCCTCGATACAGCCATTTTCCTTCTCTGCGCTTCCAGGTTGTAAAATGGGCATGAAAAGAGCAACTGCTTCATAGCGATTTGCACAGATCGAAGAACACTGGAAATGGTGCCTGGCACATATGATTTAACTCTTCAACAGCAAGAATTTGCCAGACTCGGTGGTGCACACCTGTCATCCCAGGGGCTCGGGAGGCTGAGGCAGGAGGATCATAGAGTTCAAAGCCAGCCTCAGTAAAAGCGAGGCACTGAACAATTCAGTAAGACTCTGTCTCTAAATAAAGTACAACACAGGGCTGGGGATGTGGCTCAGTGGGCAAGTGCCCCTGCATTCAATCCCTGGCACCAAGAAAAAAATAATAATAATTCTAATTTTCTTTATGGTTCAGGGAATTGAAGCCCGGGCCTCGTGCATGCTAGCCATGTGCTCCACCGCGGCGCTACACCCCCAGCCCAAGTCCAGTTTTTAGTGGACGTGCACTCTGTACCAAGCATTCTGCAGGGATCAGGTTACTCTTACCAGCATCGCCTCCAGGCTGGTACTGTTATTATCACTGTTTACTTTTTCTTTAATACTTATTTTTCAGTTGTAGATGGACACAATACCTTTGTTTTATTTATTTTTATGTGCTGCTGAGGATTGAACCTAGGGCCCCACATGTGCAAGGTGAGTGCTCTACCATTGAGCCACAACCCCAGCCCTATTATCACTGTTTCACAAATGGGAAAACAGGCTCAGAGAGGTCAAATTCCTTGCCCAGGGTCACAGAGCTTGCAGGCAACAGAACAAGGATTTAAATGCAGGCACCCTTGCTTGAAGTCCCTGCCACAACCTAATGAAGATGCTTGCTGAATGGTCAAACCAGCTGCCAGTCCAGTGTACAGGGGTCACACTCCTGTGGCTGGGGCAAAAGTGGGTGAAATGTTCTCTCTTGCAAGTTGCCAGCTCAGTGCAGGCCTGTGTGGCCCTGGGGCCTTTGCACACACTCTTTTCTCTGAGCGAGTTGCTCTTCTCAGATTTTTCTTGTCTCCCAGGGTTTTCCACCATCACTCACCGCATGGAAGGCTGGGCTCAGCACCAGGAAGGCGAAAGGCGTAGTAGATGTAGGCAGCCAGCAGCGGGCAGTGACCACGGGCATCCTGGACTGCCTCCAGGCTCCGGTGGACAAGGCTGACTACATGGGCCATTGCTTCAAAGGCTCCACGGCCCAGGTTCACTGCCGGGCAGAGCAGAGGTCAAGTTCCAGGGCCCAAGGCCTCTTCCCTGCCTACTGACCTTCCAGAGGAAGAGGCATTAGGGTCGAAGGACTTAAGTGGCTATCAAGGGATTTCAGAGGACCTGCTCTGGGTGCCGGAGACTGGGGCCATTTTTCAGATAGGAAAACTGAGGCCAGAGGAAACTAGTTGACTACAGGAGGAACTCAGGATCAGGGCACTGAGGGGGTCGCTCTCTGGATGGGGAAACTGAGGCCCGAGGCCACCCTTGCTCACCCATCTGGCCACTGATGACGGGAGGCCGCACCACGAGGCGCACGAGCTTGTCCAGCACATGGTGGGAGAAGGCCACCAGGGGCTCGGGGCTGGCAAGGCGCAGTGCCGACAGGCTGGCCCGCAGCTCCTGCTCCACGGTGCCCTCGCTCAGCACCGCGTCCTTGAGTCGGAACGGAAAGGCCCCCTCCTCCAGCACGTGCACCAAAGTGAAGAATTTGTCCAGGTGTGGGTCCTGGGTGGGGGACACAAAGGGAGCCGGGCTGCCGGGTCCAGGAAAGCCCCGGGGACCAAGGCCAATTCCATCTGAGTCAGCAGCTTCCCTGAGAGCCCGGCCAGCTGATCAAAGTCACGTCCACGGCTCGAGGCCAGGCCTCGCTGGCCAGCGACAACTATTACCCAACTGCATAGCAAGCGGGAGGGCAGCAGGGCAGGACTCCCGGGTTCCCACCCCACCCCATACCTGGGGGTGGACAGAGGACGCGGCCATGAGCTCCACGCTGAACACACCCTTGTGGCCGTCCACCCAGCGCATGCCCGGCAGCGCCACCTGCGGGAGGGAGGTGCCTGGTGGGCACTGGAGGACCCTCCCCCATAGATCAGGCCACCAGGCCGCCCCAGCCATTGCGACACCATGGCCTGAGCGTGGCCTGGCCCAAGGGAGCAGGCGGGCACCCTGCCCCCAGCTCAGTCCCGGTGGACTCAGGGGGTCCACCAGGCAGAGAGGACACCATGCACACGAGATACGGGTGAAGGTGAATTGGAGGAAACGATGAGTCAGGAACGCTGTAGGGGGCCTGAGCCCGGGGTGTTGAGGGACAGCTGGACAGGAAGAGGGAGGGCCACGCACACTAACAGGGGTGGAGGGGCAGGGGCGGCCCTGGACGAACTCGTGGGGGGCAATAATCAGCGAAGTGAGGCTGCTATGGGGTCAGTGAGCACAGACGTGAGGGCCAGTCAGGGGGGAGAGAGAGGGACACGCAATGGGAGGGAGGGGAGGACACCCCAGAGGACGAGGCTCCCGGGGGACTGGTGGACGTCAGGTGGGGTCTCGGGAACGCTGGCCCATGGGGTTCTGCGAGGACAGGAACGTTGACAGAAGGTGGCCAGGGCATCAGTGGGCGCTACAGGGGACAGTGTCAGGAGGCGGGCAGCCCAGGCACGTACGTCGGGTGTGAGCACGGAGTAGCTGGGTGGCGGCTGGTCCACGGACACAGGGAGGCAGAAGGGGCCAGTCCTCAGGCGGCCGTGCTGCAGCAGCGGGATCCACTGGGGAGAGAGCAGGGGTCAGGCCTGGGCACAGCATCAGGCAGGGGACAGGCAGGGCTCCGAGGGCGGCTGGACTCACAGTGAAGCCCACGGGCGTCTCCAGGGCGGCGCCCGGCCGGGGCTGGCAGCTGACGTGGTAGAAGGTGAAGAGCAGGTGGTGGTTCTCGGTGACGCAGGCCGGAAGGCACAGCTTGAACTCCTCGTAGAACTCAGGGGACCTGGCAGGGCAGGCTGGGGGTCAGCTGGAGGGCTGGGGCCCCACGTCGGGTCCAGCATGGCGGGGTCCTCTCCTTGGCCTGGGCTGCCCCCAGAGGGCTCTGGGCGCTGCACCTCCTTTCTTCCTGGCTCCATGCCTAGGTGTGTCCCTGACCCCAGGAGTGCCCGCAGGTCCTCCCATGTCCCTTCTCCCTACCGTCCCTGCCCGGCCCCATCCCCACCTACTTGTTATGGTAGACCACGGGCGTGAAGGCCTCACGTGTGAATTCGCTGCAGCTGGACTTGCCAAAGATGACCTGGGGGAGTGGGGACATGAGGGACCCGCCGGGATGACCCACCCCTGCTGCTCCCCGGGGCGGAGACACTGACCGGCAGGGCCTGGCTGGGGTCCTCGCCAGCCATGTACTGGACGCGCACGGCGAGGTTGCGCACGGAGCCCTGGCGGCTGCTGAAGTTGAGGCTGTGCGGGTACACGTAGAGCAGGTTCCTAGGGCGAGGGCAGGGCTCAGAGGGTCACAGTCACGGGGGGAAGGGGGTCCCGAGGCTGGGGCACTGAGCTGGGGCAGGCCGATCCAGCGCCAGGCGTGAGATACGAATGGCAGAGGCCGGGGAGAGATGGGCACCCTCAGGGCACAGGTGGGAATCTACGGAGGCCGAGGAAGCCAGGTGGCCAGCGGTGCAGCCTGACCCCTGCCAGGCTGAGCCGCCCGGCCACAGAGGCCCGACTGACTGGGTTCTTCCCCCAGAAGAGACCTGTAGAGTTATGTGGCCTGTCCCTCAGGTGGGAAAACTGTGACCAGAGTTGGAAGGTGGGGCTGGGGTGAGGGTGCTGTCCCCCACCCTGCAACTCTGCATAAATCCCAACCTACCCATGGGCCTCAGGTTCCCTATCTGCATAATGGGACATCAGGCCACTCAATCGAAAATTTACAACAGCACCAATGACGACAGGTAACTGCAACAACAATCACTGCACCAAACACTTATGTGGCACCTACTGGATGCCAGGGTTAATTCCATGCACTCAAAATGAAATGATTCACTCACTTCCTCTAAGCAGCCAGCAAGATGGGATACACAGCACCCCCATTTTACAGGTAAGGAAACTGAGGCACTTGCCCCCAGTCATCCAGGGAGTAAAATAGCATTCATGCTGGTCTGAGGCATACGTGGGCCCTGGAGTGAATCTATGTGTCCTTGGGAAGGATTCTGCCATATGTTCTAGCTCCCTGGCCACCAACCAGGTCCACAAGGACCCCTGTGTTGGGGTGAGAGTGTGGCCGGGGGCAGAGCGCTGGCTCAGCATGCACAGAGGCCTGGGTTCCCACCTAAGCTGCAAAGCAAAGACCCTGCATTGCAGGCTGGGAAGTGCCAGAGGAGAGCTGGTGCCATATGGCCACTAGAACAGCTCTAGGTGAACCCCGTGTCCACACAGTCACCGCTGTCCTGCTGCCCACCAGAGGGAAAGCGGAAGCTCAGTGTGGTGAGCCCCAGGGCCCCTCCAAGGATGCCTGGGCCAATCCCTCCTAGTGCCCCCAACCCACAACTGGCCCTGAGCCCCAGCCAGCGTGATCTCAGCGTGGCCCGGCCGGACACTCGCCTGATGCAACTATTACGCCCCTGCCAGGCCCTTGCACAACACGGGGCAGCTGGTGGCCAGTTAACGATTGACTGGGGGTTAATGGCAGTGTGGGGACATAAAAGGCGGCGGCAGCAGCACTTGCCCACACCCCTGTCCTTCAGCCATGCCTGCACTCACTCTGTGCCTCCTGTGGGCTCTGGCAGCAGTGGCCCAGCCTGCCCCAGTGGCCCCCATGGGTGGCCTGGAGCCGGCACAGCATGAGGAACTGACCCTGCTCTTCCACGGGGCCCTGCAGCTGGGCCAGGCCCTCAATGGCGTGTACAAGTCCACGGAGGCCCGACTGACCGAGGCCGGGCAGAGCCTGGGCCTCTATGGCCAAGCACTGGGGCTCTTGGGGCTACAAGTCAGCCAGGGCCGGGACGCAGCTCAGGAACTTCGCACAAGCTTGCTGGAGATACAGGTGGGTAGGGCAGCGGGGGTGTTGTGGGGTGGGTAGGAGTGTGTAGGGTGTCCAGTGGCCCCAGTTTTACCCGGAACTGAAGAGGGTCCCAAGATGCAAGACCCTCAGTAACGAAACCAAGCGAGTCCTGGGCAAACACCGAGCAGCCGGCATCCTAACACCCCACTATCTCCCGAACAGCTAGAGGAGGATGATCTGCAGCTGCAGGCAGAGGCCACAGCCCAGGTGCTATCGGAGGTGGCCCAGGCCCAGCGGGTACTACGGGACAGCGTGCAACGACTGGAAGCCCAGCTGCAGGGTGCCTGGCTAGGCCATGCCCGCCAAGAATTTGAGGCCTTAAAGGTAAGGGGCACTTGGCCCTGGGAGGATTGAGACTCTGACTTCTGGCCAGAACTCTCTTCTGAACCTTGAGTCCTAGATACTTCCCAGCTCTATGACTTCTGCTCTGTGACCCTGAGCAAAACCCACATACCTTTCCATGCCTCAGTTTCCCCATTTGCAAATAGAGCACAGTTGATATTTCAGAGCAATTCAATTCAAGGGCAGGATACATAGTAGGTACTCAATACATGCTTACTATTCAGGCATCTGGTAAGTCGTGAGTGCCCAATAAGTACCCAGAACTGTTCAATGCCCTTTAATAGACCACGTGATGCTCATAACTTCACAAAAAAAAGTCCCGTCTTAAACTCATATTACGGATGGGGAAACTGAGGCCAGAGAGCACCACTGACTTGCCCAGTCACATAGATGTAACAGGGAGGCCCGGGCAGGGTCAGGGGATGAGAGGGGAGGAGGCCCCCACTGAGGTTCTTCCCTACCACGCAGGCTCACGCTGACAAGCAGAGCTACTTCCTATGGGCTCTCACGGGCCATGTGCAGCGACAGAGGCAGGAGATGGCAGCTCAGCAACAGTGGCTGCGGCGGATCCAGGAGAGGTGAGCCTGGTGGGGGCCTGGCACGCAGGGCAGCTGGCTGGGGCCCGTGCAGGGAGCCAGAAAGGGCCCCTCACCTGGTGTCCAGTGGCCCCAGTTTGGCTGAGCCAAACTCCCCGTCTCCCTCCCCAGACTCCACACCGCGGCACTTCCAGCCTGAGCCTGCCTGGGCAGAACAGAGGACCAGTCGTGAAGCAAGGGACACTTCCGTGCTCCATGCGGCCCCCAAGCAGAGAGGAGCTGCCTGTCCAGCGGGGCCGGCCAGGGCACGCCGCTTCCAGCCACAGAGCAGAGACAGAAGCAGGCGGGGTGGATGGCGGAGGACATGGCCTCCCTGGGCGGGTGGAGGAAGGACGCGCATCCCTTTGTGCCCACAATCCTGCACTAAAGCAGAGCAGTGGCATGTCACCCTGGGTGTCTGTGTGTGTCTGAATGTCCCCCATGCCAGGGCCCGGCCACTCCAGGGACGGTACCTGTAGCAGGTGTGGGGAGAGTAGACCTCGCGGGCAGGGAACTCCAGGATCTCCTTGGTGGGCCGGCCCCGGGGGTCTGGGTAGGGCTTGACGTGAAGCAGCTCAGGGGAGAGGCAGAAATGGGGGTTCTCGGGGGCCGGGGAGATGTCGATCTTGAGCTGAGCTGGGGGGGAGGAAGCAGTTTGCACCTGTCTGGGAGCCTCTGGCCAGGGGACCCCCCTAGGGCTACGCAGGTGAGGCTCTGCCTCCCCCGGCTGCCCGCTGGTGGCTCTGACCTTCAGGTGTGAAAAGCTCCAAGTCACCCTCAACCCTTCTCTCACCCTCAGAGATGACGTGTCCCCCCCCATGATCCCTACTCGACCCACATTTTTTTCTTTTTATCTGTGGCCTCCACTGAAAGTTCGGCCCCTGAGTTGGGGAATTTGTCAATTATGGTCAGAGTTGAGTCCCTGGCGCCTGACACGGCAGGTGCTTAGTGCGGGTTCGCTGAACCCTCCCTTATTGACAGGGGCGCCACGCACCGGTCACAGGCCGCAGGCGGCGCAGCAGGGACGATGGACGCCGCATGTCCGCCAGGAATTTAAAGAGGTCCTCATCGCTGAGCCGTTCCGCTTCCTGCAAGGGACAGGTCCCCATGAGCCAGGGATAAAGGGCTGAGTCCCCAGGATCCAAGCAACCACAAGGGTGGGGACAGTCCCCAAGCACCTCTCCTGGCAGTCCCCTGCCTCCCAGTCAGACACCTGCTTAAAAAAGTTGGTGACAGTCAGTGTGGCCGGGCGGAAGCCAGAGAAGCTGCAGGTATCATCCCCGCTACTCGCTCGGTCTTGGGGTCCCCGACGGCGGCGGTCAGTCCAGGCGGGTCGGCGCTCTAGGAGACAGTGACAGTGACAGTGACAGTGACAGGAGATGAGGGACAAAGAGACGCGGAGACCCAGGTGCGGTGCCGCGCTCGGCCGGCAGAGGGCGCGCCCCCGCCCTCCGCTCCGCCCCGGCCCCGCCTCCTCACCGCCCTCCGAGTCCGAGTCGCGGTCGGGCTGCCCCGCGCTGCTCACGATGTTGGCCAAGTGCACCGCCGTCCAGGCGAAGGGCATGCGGTACCGGCCCAGGCGGGTGCAGAACTGCTCGGCTGCCAGGCGCAGCTTCTCCAGCTTCTCTTTGTTCTGAGGGAGACCCCCGCCCCCACCAGCTCAGCGTCCCAGACCTGCCAAGTGCAGCATCTGCCCTCCACCAGGTCCAACTTCCACGCTCGTACCTTGGCCGTGTCCACCTCCTTCATCACCATGTAGGGCTCGCAGCATTCACTGATGTCCCCTTGCTGGAGCACCTTCTCCAACTGTGGGGCAGGAAGGCCCCATGAAGAGCCCCCTCTTCATGGGGGGCTCCTGGACCCCCAAACTCTCCATCCCACTGCTGGCGATCAACCCAGGGACATGCTAGGAAATGGCCTAACCACTGACCTACACCCCCAGTTCACCCCGGGGCTTGTGCTCCAAGATCGCCCATGCCTCCTGCTGTCCCTGGTACTAAGTGCCAGCACTCTGCCTGCCCAGTGGCCATCTCCTCACCACCCCTCCGACCACCCCAAACTGTAAGTCGCAGCTCACTCTTAGCTTCGGACATTTTCTTGGCATTAACATGTATTAGCATAAACAGGCCGCGCTCTGAGTCACGAGGCCTGGACTCCTCTAGTCCTGACCGCTGGGGTTGTGGGACCCTGGGCAGGTCTTTAACCTGCTCTGCGCCTTAAGTTTCCCCATGTATAAAATGGGGGCATAGCAACTCTCATCTTGGGGGCTACCGTGAAGACTGCACCCCTGTGACACCAGGCCATGAGCAGGGTCTGCTTGTGGGCACGCGACCCATTTCATTACTGTACCTAACTGAAGGTTTGGGGAAGAAACTGACCCCACGTGGAAAGAAAATCCCAGATCAATGTGCTGACCACGACTTCCTGCCCCAATTAACTGAGCAAGTCTGGCCTTAAAAAACACTGTCATCATCATCCACAAACCTCCTAACATCTCACTTGCCTCCCCACTGGGACCCCCCACCCCAGACTGTTGCATGTGCCTGAGATGTCCTTTGTCCCCAGGCCTATCTGTCCATGGGTCTCAGCTCAGTTGCCACCTCTTCAGGAAGCCCTCCATGATTTTCCCCCATCCAGGTTGGGTGCCCCCGGGGCTCCTCTTTCTGGTAACATGTCTGCCTCATCCCCTGAGGGCAGGGACTGAACCTGTGGCCTTCACCGTTATTACCCCCTGGCCCTGCCCCACCAGGCACCTTGATGACCAGGAAAATGTCGGGTGAGGGATAGGTCACGGAGAAGATGGCGGAGCGGGCCAGGGTGGAGATGGCGGGGTGGGTGCCATGGGCACGAAGCAGCCCCTTCATGGGATCTGAGTTCAGGTCAAAGTAGAAGTTTTCTGAAATCTGGGGACACGAAAGGCAGCTTGGCCACCGTCTCCAGGAAGCCTGCAGCCCCTGAAGCCCAGAAGGAAGAGGGGGAGCAAGAGGACAAGGGGCTCCTACCTTCTTCTTCTCCCGCACGTCGTACAGGGCCAAGATCCCGAAGATGGGCTCAATTTCTATCTCGAACCTGTGGGTCAAGGGGACCAAGCTCCCTGACACCCACTCCGTTCAGGCCCGAGGAGAGTGTGGTGGAGGGCACCTGACTCCCGGGGACTTTGTGGCTTGTAGGACTAGTGTGTCCCATTTTGCAAAACGGGAAACCGAGGCACTAGAGGTTTGTCCCCCCCCCAGCAGGTGGCATGCACACAGCCCCACCTGCAACCACGCCTGGCACCCAGGTCACAAGGAGGTGGCTCTTGGTCCTATTAACCCACTTGCAATGCCCTCTGTCCCCATCTTTGGAATGACTGCTGCCGCCTCTGCCACTGGGGTGGAGCCCAGTCCTGGCCACCAAAACCCTCTCCCTGCTACTCCACTTGGTAAAGAAGCATCTTGGAACCTGAGGCTCCTCACTGTCCTGAGAACAAAGCCCCACGGGGCCCATCCCTGCCCACCTCCTGCCTGTCTCCCTGCTCCAGAAGGTGAGGTGCCCACGCACTCCTTGCCCCACTCCTCACACCCTTCCCTCCCTCCCATTTGGCTATTCCTGCTCATTGCTGGGCCTTAGCTGAGGTGGTTCCTCCCCAGGGAGCAGGGCAGCCCCAGCTGGGCCTACAGAGCCCCTGGGTATGTCCCTCCGGACTCCATTGGTCCTTGTGTGGTTCTGTGTCCTGAACAGCATAGGCCCTCGGCGGGTGTTTGCAGAATGACTGCGTGAGCCCAGAGAGCCTGTTCCAGCCCTGGGATTGAGGTGGGAGGCCCACCCAGGCCTCGGGCCAGAATGGAACCTCCTTTTCCTGTCCCGATCCAGGCAGGAACTGGGGGCGGGGAAGGGCAGGGCCTGGCGGGGACCCAAGTCCACATCCTGTTCAGCTCTGTTCCCACGCACTCGTCTGCTGCACTTCTGGCTGCTCCCTGGGGTCCCACGTGGAGGGGGCCTTGTGTGGCTGGGAGCCAGGCCCAGGATCCTTAGCACCCCGGTCACCCTGGCTCCCAGCAGCAGGGCAGGCAAGTGACAGACTTGGGCCCCATGAGTCGTGTGATCTTGGGCACAATTTTGTGAGCGTGGGCCTCAGTCTCCCTATCTGCACCCACTTCACAAGGTTGGGGTGAAGCAGATATAGGTGAAGGGCCGAGAGGAGAGCCTGGCACCTCAGGGATGGCAGCTCAATGCCCCGCTGCCCAGGGCCAGGCTGGGGACCCAGGGCCTTGCACATGCGGGGCGAGTGTTTGACAGACCCAGAGGCCCGGCCCAGGAGCAGCAGTTCCAAATGACAAAGGGAATATTATCTTCCCCGTGAAAGCTCCTGGTGGCCTCGCAGGCCGCAGGTGCCTAAAGTGATGTTGCCACCCGTGTGGCGGCTGACTGTACACTAAAACCGCGGGGCCGAGGGGAGGGCAGGTCAGCATACTCACTTGAGCGACAGACACTTGACCAGGATCCTCTGTCCAAAGTGCTCTCGGGGTGGCTCCGGGTGGCTACAGCGTTCTACAGCCTCATCCTGCCAAGAGCCAGGTGGGACCCTGGGATAAGTCCTCCAGGAAGGCCCTGGAATGCCTGGCGCGGGGCCAGCGCCACCCTCAGCCTCACCAGACTTCCCTCGGTGCCTTGCTTCTGAGCCACCGCACGTGCTGTTCCCTACCTGGAATGCCCTTCCCTCCTCCTCCTCCTCGTCTGGTAAGGTCTGCGGGCTGCTCAGGGCCAGGCTAGCTGGCACTTCCCCAGGAAGCCTTCCCTGACCCCCGGCCCTAGACAGGCACCTCTTCCAGGTGCTCCCAATGCCCTGCCGCTGCAGGCCCTGGCTGGGGCAGTGTGAGGGACAACGACGGGTACTGCAGCCTGGCACCACCTGTTCACCCTGTGATTTCCCAGTGAAGGGTCTTTCTTCCACTGGACTGAACTCTGAGGACAGAGACTGGGTTTACCCTATTCACGGTAATATCCCTACCATAGAGCAGACACCCAGACACGTAGGTCCAATAAATAGAGATACAACAGGTACAACTAAACACTGGATTAACACAGGCATGTACAGAAGACATTTAATAAGTGCTGATTGAAATGTATATATTTATAAAATTGCAGATAGTCCCTGATTTATAAGTTTGATTTATAATTTTTTTAACAGTACTGGGAATTGAAACCTGGGGTGCTCTACGCTCTACCCCTGAGCCCCATCCTCAGCTCCTTTCATTTTTTATTTTGAGACAGGGTCTTGCTAAGCTGCTGAGGCTGGCCTTGAACTTGTGATCCTCCTGCCTCAGCCTCCTGAGTCAATGGGATTAGAGGCATGTGCCACCAATTCATAATTTTTGACTTGATGTGCAAAAGCACACCTGTATAATCATTCTGCTTTTCACTTTCGA